AGTAGGCAGCTTATTTGGATCAAATTTATAACTTAGTGTAGAAATTTAAATTCCGTCTAGCTGTAAGAAATATATTTATACTTTGATCTTTATAATTTCTTTTGAGACCGTGTTGGGGTGTGGTTCAATGGTAGATGTCTTGAAAACGCACAATAGATAAAAGGAACCAAACGTGTAGAGAAAAGGAACAAATCTGTAGAGAAAAGGAACGAAATCTGTAGAGAAAAGGAACCAAATCTGTAGAGAACATGACAACAAGTTCATCAACTAAACGATGGCAAACATTTGATTTCAACGTCATTTCGTAAGCATCTACCAAAGCCACGGTCTCGAGAACGGTTTGCCATACTAAAGAGCAAAACTTTTAAACATAGATAATTAAAATTAACTTGAAGTCCTTGAAATTGAAGTGAACGCATCCGTGATGTAGGATGCAAACGCAGAGATTACTGGATGTTCGGAGATCAAACTCAGAACCAAATCTGTAGAGAAGAGGAACCAAATCTGTAGAGAAAAGGAGCAAATCTATACCGAAAAGGAACCAAATCTGTAGAGAAAAGGAACCAAAACTTTCCCTTATTAGGGTAAACTTTGCTCAAACTGGAGAAACCTGGCACTATCATAATTACTTCAACACTTGCGCGTGAAAAAAAGGATGAATAGAAAAAGGAGCACACAACTGACTCAAGACAAAGCTTAAATAATGGGTTTTTAAGTACACAAACTACGAAAAACGGACAACTGAATATCGTCTAGTGGCTGATTACGGTAGTTTATCCATCAGCTTTGAATTTTAACTTGTGTCTTGAATTTTGACTAACTGCAGAGCAGTGGCAATTCGCCACACTAGCTTAAGATAATTTATGCAATCAAATTCTCACAACTTTAAACATTTTGAAGTTTTATATTTTAGCATCCAACCATTTAGCAAAGTATATTTCTTATTTATTGTTAGTTCTTTCTTAGATTCTTGCATGAACTGTTTAAAAACCATTGCTAAAGTTCATTATTGCTTAATCAGTAGCTTTTCTTACCTTTTCTTGCATTGCCTACGATAGTGACATCTCGATTGAATCGAATCGAATTAATGAATCAATCGAACTCATTAATGAAATCGTGAATAATGCTTTTTTTGACAATTGAATTGTTTTTAATTGGTTGTTACCTAAAGGATTTCTTTCTTCGAATTTCATCAATTTTTTTAGTCATTGAAAAATGGAAGCGCATCCAATAGAAGCAATTTTTGTGGAGTGATTGAAAAATAGAATTAAATAGAAATAAAAGCGCATGCGCTTCTATTAGAATAAATACGGTAGTTCTTAGTCAGTAGCCTAATCGTGCAACACAGATTACAAAGAATAACAATATATGTAACCATATAGAAGTTACGGAAGCATTTTAGTGGCAACAACTCTTGCCACAACAACGCCTATGCCGACTCTCCAGCCAACTATGCAACCTGGAATCTTGCCACAAGGACCAATTGCTCCTGAAATTTGGCCTTACATTACCATTGTATTAGGTATGAAGATTTATATTTAAACAAACTTGAACACATACTGTAAATACTCTAATAGAACGCCATCCCTATAATGACAGGCGTACATTCGCGTTCTCTAACTTTGAACGTCCCGTTCTCCGCGTTACTTTAAGCTACAGCATGCGCTTAGGTGACAAATGATAGCCCTTGAAATCTAGTATTTTTTTGGTATTAAAAGTGTAGTTGGGAAGAATCTAGAGGCTGAGAAAAAAGTTTCTAAGAAGAAGTTAGACTACGCGACTGTAGACACAACTAACGCCATGTTCTATTAGAGTATTTACGGTGATTGCACAGATACCTCTTCCGAGTTGAGTAGTCCAACAGCGTTGAATGATCGAGGATTCGAAGTGGTGAGAATCTGAATTTGGCTGGGGATTTGTGACAACAATTTAGCTCCGAATATTCCTGGTCAACACTTTGATCAAGTACCAAATTGGAGTCGAGTATACTTTGGTTTCTTTAGTGACATTTGACGCTCAAACAAAGGTGCATTTGCTTTTAAACTCAATCTAGCTTTAAACTAGCTTTAACCATTGATTGGCAATATGGACCCGTAGACAATTTTGTCTTCAGGTTGAGTTCCACTTCAATAGTCATACGGATTGGACTTCTTTATATAAAGCTTTTAACCATTGATTGGCAATATGGACCTGCAGACAATCATGGAAAATGGAAAAACATTGATGAGTTGGTCTTTTTGGAGTCTGTTATCTTGGAGTTGGATCAAAAAAGCTCTAAAAGCAAAAAAATAATCTATATGCTTTACTTTCAGCGCTATGGAGCTCGTGCTATCGGACGTTTATCAACCGACAAATGGTGCCAAAGGTGATGGCAATGTCTTATGGATTTTTACCACTGGACCGTTAGTATTCTGTGTAAAAATTAAGATAAAATGATTTAGTAACAATCTAAATCTCACTCAAAGATACCAGAATGCAGTTAGCGTTTTGGGCCAAGGAGATGTGAAAGTGAAAGTGATCGGGCTGGGAAATATTACTGATGACTTCATGACGAATATTGCGACTGATTATACAATTGTGAAAGATTACACAAATCCATTGAGTGGAATGGCCTCTGCGAAGGATTCAGTTGGACCAGTGCTCTATCAAGATTCAACACAAAGTTTCATTTTCGCTACTTTCCAGTTATACAGAACACAACAGTACTCTTTACTTGAATCCCATTGAATCAATGGATATTTAGATTTGGAATTAGATATTTGAATCTATAGATATTAAAAAGATCTTCCGTTAAGGTTCTGCTTTGGTAATCAAGTAATTAAACTTCAATCTTTTATCAAACCTTGCCCGCAAAACAGAGAAATTAGCATACCTATCCTTTTTATTATATATTCTTACCTAAGCCATTAATTGGAACCAAGGATGCGCATGAATTGCCAAGCCAAATGCAAATCGCCGAAACTTATCCCCCTGAGATTTCGCTTTGTTTTGTGAGATTTCGTTTTTCTAAAGCTCAAATTTTGCGAAGTATAACTCCATTGATGCAACGCATTTTTGTGGTAAGAATGTACAGGGTGACCAAGAAAAAGGCAATGAAAAGGCAAGCAACCAGAGTGATTAACTAAAGCAGACTCGCAATAATGTTTGTACAGGATGACCAAGAATTACCGCAACACAAAAGGTTTGGCTTTTAACCAAATATGCAACCCATCTCGAAAAGTTAACTTAAATATCTTTATTCAACATATAACAGTAACAAATCAACAATTAAATTCAAATTTGCCTCCATCGACATTCAGACAGACTGGCAAACGTTTGGGAAACGCGTTGACCGTGGCGAGCAAATAGGCATCATCGAGGGTATCCCATGCTTTGATGAGCTTCGAGTTTGAATGGGATACCCATCGCGGGTATCCCATTCAAACGATATTTTTATGTGGTTTTGCACATGCCCTGGCTTCAAGAACACTCCGGACTGAGTAATCCAATGGGTTAAGATCGGGTGAGCTGGGTGGCCCCTCAGAAAACCAGATATGCAACCCATCTCGAAAAGTTAACTTAAATATCTTTATTCAACATATAACAATAACAAATTAACAATTAAATTCAAATTCTCCATCGGCATTCAGACAGGCCTGCAAACGTTTGGGAAAGGCGTTGACCGTGGGAAACGTTTGGGAAACGAGCAAAAAGGCATCATCGAGGGTATCCCATGCTTTGATCAGCGCCTTCTTCAAACTTTCCATATTTTTATGTGGTTTTGCACATGCCCTGACTTCAAGAACACTCCAGACTGAGTAATCCAATGGGTTAAGATCGGGTGAGCTGGGTGGCCACTCAGAAAACCAGATGAATTCCGGGAAGATCTTTGAACAAAACTCTTGCACTTTCTTTGCCTTGTGAGCCGGCGCACCATCTTGTTGATAAGTCCGAATTCGATTTTTGAAGTGGTAACCATAAAAATAGGTAAGCAAAAAGTGAAATGGGGCTCATAACATAATACGACGTTGTTGCGGTAATTCTTGGTCACCCTGTAAGGTGAATGGAGCGTATTATAAATTCCCACGTGTGTAGCGGTAGGATAAATTTGGATGTGATTGCCGAAATGATATGTGTGTTTGTTGAAGTGTATTTGAAAGATTTAACTGGACACAACCGACTACCGCCCTCAACATCTCCGAAGTCGGAGCCTTAGGAATAAACGACGACCTGTCTTGCATTCCGGAAGATTACTTGTTTATCTATATGAGTAATGATAATCTTTCGTGAGGCAAATATAATGAAGAAATAGGATAGAAAGGGGGAACATGCTAGGGGAAGGGGAAAGCTTTCTAGTATGATTCCGAATGAATGGTGTTTCAAGTTGAGAGATCGGGCAGCCCGAAGGACCGCTTCCTTTAGTCTAGGTCTTAGTCTAGGTCTAGGTCTTAGTCTAGGTCTAGGTCTTAGTCTAGGTCTAGGTCTTAGTCTAGGTCTAGGTCTTAGTCTAGGTCTGAAATATTGAAGTCTGTGTGAATAAAGAGCTCAGTGTGAGATTTCAATTGGGGAGAGAGAATATGGATGAAGTCGTTTCAACTAAAGTTACAGAGCGAAGAGAGACATAGGAGAACTCTGAATTTTGTGCTTTTCTGATTTCTGATAATTAGAATAGTTAGAATAGGGGTGAATGGAGCGTATGCAAATTTCTCTTTGGTGTTTAACTCCATTGGTGCAAGGCCTTTTCTCGAGCCTTTTTGCGAGAGTTTAAGTAAAGAGTACCAATCTCAGACTACCGTAAAGACTAGTTTAAGTAAAGACTACCGTAAAGACTGCGTTGGTACTAACACAACTCGTTTGTGGTCTTCTCTTTCTTTTCGCCAGAATCTGGAAATATCTATTGAGAAATAGAAAACGACATTATATCATTGCCAGAATCTGGAGGCTTTATTTATTTTCTTACAGATGGTCCACCTTCAATCCCAACAATAAAAGGTGACATCTTGTTAGCAGTCGATCGAGAAATGCCCTTAAATCTTTTTGCGTCTCTTCAAACATTCTTGCAAAAATTCGCTGGGGTAATTTTTGTACACTATTGTTTTTCATTATACTTTCAAAGTGTTACCCTTGCTCACTCAACTGAATATCTTCTAGTTTCATGGGAAATTTCAAATAAAAGGGGCAGCTACGAAAGGCAAACTAAAAGGGGCAGCTACACAGAAAAAGGAGTGAGACTTCGTAGCTTTCATCGCTGCCCATTTGTTTGAATCTTTGTTTGAATCATAAAGACATTCTACTAGAGTTTAGGGTGACACTTTGAAAGTATAGTTTTCATGTAACTTTAGCACTTTACCATTGGACCGGATAAATGCCATTTTGCTATTGTTTTGTTTGACTCGGAGGGCATTCAGAAAGTCTATGAGTTCACAGAGGGTCAAGATCTTGCGGTATGGCATGATTTTTTATATTGAACTGTTTGGTTTTTTCATTTTTTCTTAAAATCTTGCTCTTAACTTACATTTAGACACATTACAAAGAGATTTAGACTGTTCTGGACCATATCAAATCATTGGCACCTCGTAATAGTGACAGTTTTAAAACAGCCGACTATCTCACGTAAGTTAACTTTTGCTTTTGTTAACTTTTGTTAACTTTAGCTGAAAATTACTAACAGTTGAGCACAAAAAGTCACAAATTGTTGAGTGAATGACTCAGAGCTCTTAATTTCAAGCTTCAGAGCTCTCAATTTCAAGCTTCAGAGCTCTTAATTTCAAGCTTCAAAGCTCTTAATTTCAAGCTTTAGAGTTCTTAATTTCAAGCTTTAGAGCTCTTAATTTCATCGTCAATAACATTTCGTTAACATCAAATGGTAAACGAAAATCCACTCAGAGTTTCGCGACTTTCCTCACAGCTAGCAGTGACAAGTAAACGCTATTTGAAGTAACTTGATCTTTCTTTCGATTCAGCAATTATTCAATCACGGACATTAATCTTTTGAATAAAACGAAAAGCCTTTATGTGACTCAAGTTCTTTGCCTTGACAATGGCTCAATTCCCACGTTTGCGAAACAGCTTGCAAGCCAGGTTTGGCTACAGAAAATCTCTTTGATACAACTTAAAACCCTTACCAATTTTAAAGAATTGATAAAGAATTGAAACATACGCTACATAACAGCTTGAAACATAACAAACATACTCTTAGGAAACATACGCTTACAACGTTGATGATCTCCTTGATTGGTCGACATCAGCAACCGGAAAGAAATCGCCTATGCAAGCTTTCTTCGCCGATCTACAAATTGGTGAGCTTCAATATTCAAGCTTCAAGCTTCTAACATCATTCTTATTTATGATATGTAAAGCTCTATAAAAACTCTAGAAAATCAAATGGCTGTGCAAAAAGGAATACTCGAGACAACTGATGTAAAAGCTGATATTATCTTTGTGCTTGATTTGGCAAATCTAAACGACAACTTCAACTCGGTGAATTCAAACAAAAAGTGATTTTTAAAAATTATATTACTATTCAGATGATTCAATACTTCAACGATTTTACCGCGAAGTTCACAATTGGGCAATTCAACGCTCAATTTGCTGGCATGTCGTTTGGAAGTCAGACACAAGATCAGTTCACGTTGTTGGCATGCGGAAGGAATCTCACTCTAGGGTGCATAGAAAATGAGTTAAGCAAATGGAAATCTTCAGCTGAAAATGATCCTCGATATCTTATCCAGTAAGGAAGGATGATTCACAGGGGAAGGATGATTGGGTCTGACCTTTTCAGATGATATATAGATCATTTGATATATAGACCATTTGATATCTAGACCAGAAGTTTACGCTGACTCCAATCATGTAAAAATTAGCTGCCAAATAGCGAGCAATCACCGCCAAACTAGCATAAAAGTTTTGAGCTTCTGCTTTTTTCACAGACCTTTTTTTCCAATAGTAACGGCAGCGGCGGCGCTTATATGAGACGGCGTATATGTAACACTTTTATCCATCGAAAGATGTGGAATGTGTAAAGTAAGGGAAAGCTCTTTCAGGGATATTTGCTAAGCTGTTTTGCCAGATGCCTGGCGTTTATGTGGACCCATAAAGAACACAAAAGAACGTAGAATGCAAAAGCAAAACAATGTGACTGGTTCGAACTCTTGACCCTGAGCTTTCTGTTCAACTCAACCACTCAGCCACCGATGAACGGTTTGCGTTCAAAAAAAATCGGGTTAAAAGGAAAGACTCAAAACTTTTATGCTAGTTTAGCGGTGATTACGCGCCAGTTAATTTTTGCATCATTGAAATCAGTGTAAAATTCTGCGTCAAATGGTCTATATATGATTGGAAAAAGCCAGACTCAATCATCCTTCCCTTTTCAGTACAAATATTAGTAAATATTACTTTTCTACAGAGCTTTAAAGAATTTAAACGAGAACCAATTGATTTCCTCGAGTGGTTGGCGACATTCGAAGACTTATATTCTCATGTTCTCCGCTCAATCGAGGTCAGTTTTTCGTGTGTCAAGCTTAAAAGTAGATTCACACTTTTTAAAATGTTTATTGCAGTATGAAGAAGTCATTTCTTTAAACATTTACTAGCAAATTTCAACTCCATTCAGTCCGATTTGGAATATGGAAGAATTGGACGAAATCTGCTATCAATTGCACAATAAAAACGCTTTTCTTTACTACGTTGATATGGCAAATGGAGCGATGCCAGACGAAATGAAGAAATATTTTGATGGAAACACTTCAATTAGTAATCCCAACCAGCTGCAAATGAACTCAACAGCTGATCAAGATCTCGTCCTCGCTGTTACTTCAAGTTTTCTTAAGAATTCTTTTTCAAAAGTCTTTTTCTTTCAGGTTACCATGCATACCAATATCCACCACTACGCAATTTATCAACTGTCATTGCTGATTTCGTTTTTGTTGTCGATCTTTCAAACACTGGAGTTTTAGCGCAGGTTTGCAGCCTTAACATCCGTTTGTTTAGGTCAAAGGGACTTAACATCCGTTTGTTTAGGTCAAATAGCCTTAACATCCGTTTGTTTAGGTCAAAGAGCCTTAACATCCGTTTGTTTAGGTCAAAGAGCCTTAACATCATATTTGTTTAGGTCAAAGAGTCTTAACATCCGTTTGTTTAGGTCAAAGATGTACTTTCAAATCTCATTGATGGAATGAATATCAATGCTAACAACTCTCAAGTAAACTCTCCAATATTTCAATCTCTCTATTCTCTCTATAGGCCTCATTGATCGTCTACAATGAAAATGGGATTATATCTGAGTCAACCTTTGTTCTGAATCAATATCAAAATGCAAATGATTTACAAAAAGCTCTTGATAATATGAATCAAACAACTTCGACGCCGACAACAGATTTTGGGAAAGCTTTAGTGTATCTAGAAGAACGAATTTTCAACAATTCTTTCAATGGTTATCGCAAGACGATCACTTTTCTAACCTTCATCAACACAAATCCGAGGTATTTTGATAAGAAAAAAAACCCCCATCACCCCCATGGCTCTGGTGCCAGGTTCATTCCTCTCAAATAGGCAACAAAGCAATTTTTAAAGGCCTCACTTGTTCTGATCTGTTGTCAACAATTTTATCAAATTCATCGCCAACAGTTTAGAGCTAGAATTGAAACATTTTAATGCCTACTTTTCCAGCTTATACAGCTTTCATTACTCAACCAATAACAACAATAGAGACAAAGATCACCACAACAGGTAAGGAAATTCTGGGAGAGTCTGAGAGAAGACTATTCTTGCGATATAGACAAGACGAGTAGATCTAATTCTGGCTCTAGTGCCAGGTTCATTGCCAGACTCTAGTGCCAGGTTCATTGCCAGGCTCTAGTGCCAGGTTCATTGCCAGACTCTAGTGCCAGGTTCATTGCCAGACTCTAGTGCCAGGTTCATTGCCAGGCTCTAGTACCAGGTTCATTGCCAGACTCTAGTGCCAGGTTCATTGCCAGGCTCTAGTACCAGGTTCATTGCCAGACTCTAGTGCCAGGTTCATTGCCAGGCTCTAGTGCCAGGTTCATTGTCAGGCTTTAGTGCCAGGTTCATTGCCAGGCTCTAGGGCCAGGTTCATTGTCAGGCTCTAGTGCCAGATTCATTGCCAGGCTCTAGTGCCAGGTTCATTGTCAGGCTTTAGTGCCAGGTTCATTGCCAGGCTCTAGTACCAGGTTCATTGCCAGACTCTAGTGCCAGGTTCATTGTCAGGCTTTAGTGCCAGGTTCATTGCCAGGCTCTAGGGCCAGGTTCATTGTCAGGCTCTAGTGCCAGATTCATTGCCAGGCTCTAGTGCCAGGTTCATTCCTCTCCAATAGCTAATAAAGCAATTTTTAAAGGTCTCACTTGTTCTGATTGCAACCCGCCTTCTTCAAGCATTATACTACTTGTTGCAAGAAGATTTGGAAGTGATATTCTTTCTAAATCTTCTAACTTAAACGTAATTTTAGACCAAAATCAAGACGAGATTTTATGGTGGCTAAATCAAACAGTTACCATGGTAAACGAGTTGGGTAGAAACTGGAATCATTTCGAACGAATGGCTGTTTTCTCGTTTGACAGCGATTTCTATGTCGAGAAAAGCCTTCACAGTATGAACAACTTTGCCGACTTTTCAGCTGGAGTTCTCAATATTCAGCCAAGCAACGAAACGTTGAATTTAGCAAAGTAAATTTTATTACCAGTCATTGCAGAAGTAGAAATTGCAAGACAACAAATAGATTCTATGATATTTAGTGCTTTACAAGCGATTGATGAGAGTCAGTTACCATACGCTGGTTTGCTTCAAAATGTGATTATGTTTCTGGATGAAAGTGTGAATGATACCATTTCCCAAGCTATTCCATTTGCTCAAAATTTGATGGCAAAAGGAACAGTTTTAGCTGTGACAATAAGTAAGAGAACATTTGTGGTAAATCATTTGTGGTAAATCATTTATGGTAAATCAATCAAATCATCACAAATTTCATTTAGATGGAAGCGCATTTTGGCAACTCGGCAGCAATAACACAGCTGCATTTTCCTGCTTTCCCAATCTCACTCCATACGATTGTATTTGGAAAATTGATGCTTTTCTAGGTACTTTTAAAGAAATCGAATCGATTAATTGACTTAGAAATCGCTAAAGTTTAGGTGCCGTGCTACCAACGACAACAATCCGACCTACTACAAGCTATTCTCAGATTTGTCGGCCACTTGCATCCAGTTCCACTTATATCTCAAGTTTTGCAACAACAACCTATACGGACTTCTATTCTGACGCTTCAATAAGTCAATCAACTATTTTCAATACTTCTGCAGTCACTTCAACTTCAACTCCAACTTCTACAGTCGAAAGCACTAACTCAACGTCTGTTACTGTGCCCAATACTTCACCTAATCCTTCTACACCAAACACCACTACGACTCAAATTCCTACAGACTCTTACTCTACCTCTAATACATCACCTTTATCCACATCTACAATTCCAAGTTCGAATGCGACAACATCCACTGATTCCTTTTCTTCAACAAGTCAATCGACCATACTCACCACCACCTCTGAGACTATAACTTCTAGTACTTCATCTACAAATTCTTCCACAACAGAAACCGTTACACCTACAGATTCTTACTCTACAACTATTACTGAGTCGTCATCTTTACCCACTTCTACATTTCCAAATTCGAGTGCGGCAACATCCACTCCCTCCTTTTCTTCGACAATCCAATCGACCATGTCCACCAGCCCCTATAATCTTTCAACTTCTTCAAACATAACTACTCTTTCTACTCTGTCTGTACCTAGTACTCCATCTTCAAACTTTACCACATCAACTCCAGTTACGACAGGAATTCCTACATCTACAGCCACCACTACAACAACTACAAGCACAACCACCATAATAACTACTACAGATACAACCACAACCACCACAACAACTACTACAAGCACAATTATCACAAGAACACAACAACAGACTACTACAAACATAACGACAACCAGTGGTACTACCGCAATTCTCCCAAATCCGCCAATTTCAAACATTTTGTTCATCATGAATCAAAATATGCGAGACCCACTTGCTATTGAAGGAATGAAATATATGCTGAAAGATCTGGCAATATACTGGAATCACTTTGATGGTGTCGATATTTCATACATTGGCGAAAGTTTTTATCAACTTCGCGACTATGGAGACATCCACAACTACAATGATTTTGATGCTGCAATAACAAACTTGCCATATGCAGACAATTTTACGGATCTTTTAACGTGAGCTTTTTAGGAAATCACAAATTTCTGGTATGCTAGTAAATCCCAAAAGTAAATCCTTCTAGTAAATCTAGTAAATCTCAAAAGAGGGATTCGGTAAGACCGTAAGACCTACTGGTAAGACCTGTAAGACCAAAATATTAGGTTGTCCGGTTATGAATGCACGCCTGCTCTTGAACAACTTGAACAGCATTCCTTCGAGCTTTACAATTTTATCAAAGCCAATTTTCTATATGCTGTTCAGGATTTCTTATTTTATTACAACTTTTTGTGTTTTTGACATCAATTTTTGATTTAATTTCTTTGTTTAGATTTAATTTCTGTGTTTAGATTTAATTTCTGTAAGCGACACGAAGTTTCGTCTCCGCGCCAGTCTTTGGTATGACTTCAAATTGGGCAAAAATATCGCTGAATCATCGAGACCTTTGGAAAGTGTTTTGGAAGATGCTATTTCGTGTCGCCAATGGTTTCAACGATTTGGAGAAGGAAATCAATCTTTGGAAGACGAAAACTACCAACGACGGCCATCTGCGATCGATAATGCAGTACTGAAGCAGGCGATAGAAATGGATCCTCGACAAACTACACGTGAACTTGCAGAAATATTTAAAGTAAGCCCTCAAACAATTTTCGAGCATTATGCTGTTCAGGATTTCTTATTTTATTACAACTTTTCGTGTTTTTGACGTCAATTTTGATTTAATTTCTGTGTTTAGATTTAATTTCTGTAAGCGACACGAAGTTTCGTCTCCGTGCCAGTCTTTGGTATGACTTCAAATTGGGCAAAAATATAGCTGAATCATCGAGACCTTTGGAAAGTATTTTGGAGGATTTTTGGAAAGCCCTATTTCGGAAAGCCAGTGTCGGCGATGGTTTCAACGATTTGGAGAAGGAGAGAACGATTTTTGGGAGATGAGGACCACCGGCCTCCTACGATCGATAATGCAGTACTTAAACAGGCGATCGAAATTGATCCTCGACAAACTACACGTGAACTTGCAGAAATATTTGGAATAAGCCCTCAAAAACGCGCATTTATAACTGGACAACCTAATAGTTAAACTTACCTAGTGAACATTTGTTAGAAACATCGAACAGTAAATGAAAATCTTTTGAACTTGAATCAATCAATCAGCCAAATTCTTTAGAGTCCTTCAAGCTGCTAATCAAATTTTATCAATATGCGAATTTGGCAATCAAAACGCCGTTCTATTTGTCGATTCGGATCTCTTTGATTTGGAGATAGATCAAGGCACGCTAGATGAAGCGGACAAACTCAAAGCCAAAGGTGGCCTCATCTTTGTCGCGATGGGTAAGCTTTAAGTTGATTGGCCTTCTGACTGGCCAATTCAGTGGCCTCAAAGCTTTAATGTCTCGTAAATTCCATCACTCTTGTTTCAGGATTTAACTTGTCTCAATATCCGACAATCGAAAAGAAATACGAGACGGCGATGTGGCAAAATCTTAGCGATTGGAGCTCTAATCAATTCAGTTATCAATCTACTCTCTCAAAAGTGGCTACGTTTTTAGGTAAAGAACCCTTTGAAATGAAAAACTTTTGGTATTGTAAAAAATAAATATCTGATAACAAGTTTAATGATTTAAAAATCAATCTTTATTTTATCAGAAACAGTTTGAGATTTTCAAACACCGTATTTTCTCTAATAGTAGTGCACCCTGAGCGTCGTCTAATTTGCTCGAAATCTCGAGAACCGCTTATCAGAACCTATCGATGTGGGGTCGGAAAATGTAGCTGAAGATGAGATCTTGTGGGGAATTAGAGTGTTGAGCTTCTGCGAAAACTTGGAAAGGAGAAAATAGTCACCAACTCGGCTCGGCGGCGTGCACTACTATTAGAGAAAATACGGTATTGACCTTTAGGCGTTTCCGATTATCATGCCACTCCACCACCACCTTCTGACTGGCCAATTCAGTGACCTCAAAGCTTTAATCTCTCGTTTAAAATTTAACTGTTTTTGTTTGAATTTTGAATGTTTGAATTTGTTTGTTTGTTTTTTGTTTGAATAAAATTTGTATTTCTTTTATGATGAGAATTAACAAAAACCATCAAAGTAAGATATTAAAAAACTCTCTATTCTATCTGATTCTCAATGCCTAGTAAATTTTAAATTTAAAACAGTGATTCTGAATTGTTTGGATGTGAAGAAAGAGAGATAAAACAAAAATCCGATCAATGATCCGCAAAAAATCTAAATTCCAATCCAGATTCATTTCTGAATTGCGAAACTTCAATTCTCTTTTAGAAATTGCTTTTTACTCAAGATTTTCTTTGCCTGCAATTTTTAACGCAAAACTTTTAATTTGAAAAGAATCCGATCAAAATAATGAAGCGGTTGGCGAGCTTGATCCAAGTCTCTTGATGAACATTGTGGCATTAAGAGTTGCACCCGTTCGTCCATGATCAATCCACAGAAAGTTTCACCTGTTCAATTGGGTGAAATCAATCTCCAATGTATTGTATGTAATCAATCTCCAGTATCAATCTCCAATGGCCACAGGTTCATCCAAAAGAGGTTTGATTTTGTGATTTTGATTCGGGTTTGATGAACATGCTGTATTTTTAAGGAAGAAAATAGATACTTGATTTGATTTGATGATTTGATGGTACTTGATTTGGTTTGATGATTTGATGATACTTGATGATCCTTGATTTGATTTGATGATTTGATGGTACTTGGTTTGATTTGATGATTTGATGGTACTTGATTTGATTCAAAATCTCCAGTACAACTCCCGCGATGCAAAACAAAGTTTGTGAAGAAATCTAGGCGAATCACACTCTTTTTAATGCAAATAGTTCACTCTAGAAGCCAGTCAATTTTTCTGCCTCATTTGATTATTCTTTTATCTTACATTCGCAAATTTACCGTTTTACGACCTATTTCAGTGCGGAAATGGCCAAGAATTCCGTGAATCGCCTCGGAAATTTAGCTCATAAAAATTTATGTCTTCTCTTTTAAAGAGAAGAGAAAAGATACAAGGAAAAAGAATAAAAAAGAATAAAAATTATAAGTGAGCAGTCTCTATCAGTCTCAGTTATCTTTCAAAGGTTATGAATCTTCGGAAGAGACTAGAGACTATCAGCTCTCATCAATAGTTTGCTGCAAAAGTTAAAAAAATTGCTTCTTCTCAACTGCAGCTTTTGAAACCGCAAGAATTTTAAATCACAATTGATGATACTTCAACTTTTCAAGCTTTACTCTGTATCTTGAACTTACCGAAGATGAATTGGTTCAAGCCGATGACCCCGAGAAAGGTAAGTGATTGAAAATGAATTTCTTGGTTAGCAAAACGTTTGTAAACCTCTGTAAATCTTTGTAAATCTCTGTAAATCTCTGTAAATCTCTGTAAAACTATTTCTGCAAGAATTTGACAAGAATACAAGCTCTATAACTTCTTCAAAGCACATTAAATTTCAGCTCTCGATTCTCATGATCATTTTCGAAGTAATAGTTTTGCTTATCAGTATCGCCGTGTTGTCAATTGGCTCTGTACAAATTGGAAAGTGTAAGAACGACTTTCTTGATTCATAAACAAAAGTTCAGCAAAGAAAACAACGGAATTAAATCACCCAGTCTATCAAGATGTTTCCGGTGTTCTACTACATTTTTCTATTGATTCAGGATTATCTTGGAATCCTTCATTTATTAATCAAAACTCGAATGAAACTAAAGCAGTGATAGAGGATTTTCGAAAAAATGTTGGGTTTTTTCGTTAACGACTCTGAAAAATTAATTCAGCTCACGAATATTCTTGATTCAATGAAAGCCATGTGGCCTGACTACATTTTGGAGTGAGTTTTAAAGCCAAGCCTGGCTAGTTAGTTTTAAGGCCAAGCCTGGTTAGTTAGTTTTAAAGCCAAGCTTGGCTAGTTAGTTTTAAAGCCAAGCTTGACTAGTTAGTTTTAAAGCCAAGTCTGGCTAGTTAGTTTTAAAGCCAAGCTGTAATTTTGTGCTCAAAAGTAGAAACTTTCAGCTTTCTATTGCATCAAAGTGCATCAGTTTCTAAAGTCCATAACTAGCTTCGGTTTATAGAAGTCCCAGCCATACCATTCTTTTCTATGGAACTTTTCTCTTTTCTTTGGGAGTATCTAAACAAGATGTTCAACAGATACTCAAACAGAACGACTTTAAATCCACAATTGAAGGTAAATTTATATTTATTTCCAAAAAAAAGTGGCACTCTTAGAATCTTCAAAGAAGATTTGCCAGGATCTCGCGGATGATGAAGCGCACACACCGACACCGCCAGCAATCGGAAGTCTGACTTTTTCAAGCTAAGAAAATCCCACAGCTGAATAGCATATTCACATACCGTAATTCTTCTATTAGAACGAAATATCGTTCTGTTTTTCAATATTTTTCAATTTAAATTCAATTCAATACCTCCAAAAACTGTCGTTCTATTAGAGCATGTCGCTCTATTTTTCAAAGCCCGATAAAAATGCTGGAATGAACCAGATGGATCATATCTAATTCAAATAATCCTCGGCTTCTCTACTTCTTGAACCTTTTACCATCTACTTCTACTTCTTGAACATCTACTTCTTGATCTACTTCTTGAACAACATCTTGATCCTCCTCTTGCATCCTCTTAATCCTCTTAAACCTCCTCTTGAATGGAGCATGCCTAAAATTTAAAACTCTCCATAATTTCTATTAGCAATAACTGTCTTAAAAGTAAAAAAATTGGCAAGTAAATGTAAAAAATCACCAATCAGACATCAAAGAAATCCAATGAAGCATCAAGGTCAAAAAAATTAACGTTTTCCTCGTTTTGATTGGTGTCCAGTCCCATAAACAGCTGCGCAATTTCTTCAAGTCGAGCGTCCTTCAACAATTGATACCCTGTTGGGATCGGGCCATCGATCCTCGATTCCATCGGCAGCAATCGTAACTCGGATATAGAAGAAGTATTGCTAGCTGGATCTTCTCCAACGTCGATGTTTTGTTCTTCACCAGCTGCATCTACTTCTTAAACATCATCTTGATTCTCTTCTTGCAAATCCTCGTTCGAATGGAGAATGCCTAAAAAGAACATTAATAAATAATATTAAAAACAGTAGTAAAAATCAGTAAAGAAAAATAGAAATAGGAAAGAAAATAATGTTTTATATATGCTTTGAAAAAAATATTTGGTAGGTTAAAAAGGGTGTCGTTCTATGTTCTATTTTTCAATACCTCCAAAAACTGTGGTTCTATTGAAGCAAGTCTTCTAATAGAAGAATTACAGTAAAGGGCATTATTTTTCAGTTTCTTGTACTCTTCAGATTTCTCCTGTGATCCCCGGGATTCTCGAACAGTCGTGATCATGGTTGACGCCGCTATGCCAATTGATCCCAATGTGAAAAGTGAGCAAAAACTAAAAATTGTAAGTCCATTTTGTTTAAAACTGAACTAATGAAAGCTTGGGTAAGTTGTTGAGTTGTTTTTTAGATGAAAGACTATCTTCTCTCACTTGCTCCACCCAATGATCTACCATGGCTCGATCTTCAAATGGGTGTTGGGGTTTTCTATGGTAGTAATGCTTTCCTGATCAACAACTTTCTTTGCAATGATCTGGTTTACTATTTTTGAATTCAGTTAATCTCTTAATTTTTAGCCTTGTTGGGAAGCAGCTATCAGTGAACTCTTTATAAATGAAACAACACTTAGCCACAACACAACGCGGTGAGCAAAGAAAGAACTTTTTTTTTGATAAAATATTTTCAGAGCTTTGGAGTTCATCCGAGATGAGTACTCAAGTTTTGAAATGCAACTGAATGGAAGAGCTCGAGTGTTGACTATTTTATCGGATGGATTGTATGATTATTTTGAACAGAATAGAAATATTCATGGCTAGATCCATGGCAAGATCCATGGCTAGATTCATGGCTAGATTCATGGCTAGGTCCATGGCTAGACCCATAGCTAGATCCATGGCTAGATTCATGGCTAGATCCATGGCTAGATCTATGACTAGATCACAAAAAGTACAAATACCTTTGTTCTTGGAAAAACACTTCCTAGAAATGCAAGAAAAACACACACAGAGAATGCTTCTAAGAAAAGTTTTCAGCGAATACGATGGTGGCTTTGGTGAGCGTTGGAGTCAACAGTTGGCTCAAGTCGTTTCTCAGACATTCTATATCTCGACAATTCTTGTCAGGTAGATAAAAAGATTAACAAAAAGCTTTTATATCCACTCCAGCACCTCAAGAACAATTCGAGGCACCTATGCATCGTTATCCGTCGGTGGATATCGCAATATAAATCTAGACTTTTGGGATCAGTTGTCTCAGCCGGAGATCCAGAGAGCACATTTAGGGTGGATTTGTGAAGGTTTGATGGTTTTGAGTTTAGTTTTAAAGTTAGAATTGAAAATTTACTTTAGACTGACCTTTAAAAAACGTTTATCAGACATCAGATAGGCCCCGCCTCCTTTGCCATTGGCAATCTAACTTTAAGCTCAAATATCTTGGTGTTGAGTTGTTGAATTTAAATATTCTTGGTATCATTAGATACGCCAAGTCTTTCTCTGTCGATTGGTACAAAAACCATCTGAATTGGACAGCCCAACAGCAAGAAATTTCAGCTCAAAGTTAGATTGCCAATGGCAAAGGAGGCGGTGCTTATCAAATGTCCCACAATCTTTAAAAATAGAGCTAGTTTAGCTTTACCACATGCTCCACAGCCAACTCGTCCGACTGTTCCTTTAGATTTCGATTTCACGACGACTCCAAAACCAATTAGGCCTCCAGTTTATGGTGAGTTCTCAAAGATTCAGATATAGTATTGGAATTGTCATTTAACTAGTTGAGTGTTAAGCTTGTGTTCGTCGTTTCAGACCTATTCAGCTTAGGTTATCACCAGCATAGCTGTATTAAATATATTCTCTTTAGATCAGTTCTGTCAAGATCCTCAAGACATTGCTT